CCAAAATGCTGAGATTGTTTTGGGATACGGACTGCAAGCAAATCATAGGAAATTAAGGATGTTTAGAATGATAAGATCGAAGCAGTTATTAAAAAGTTAGGAAGACGTGACTAAGAAGTGAAATTAGATGAAATAATCTTGGAAAAGATGGCGACTTGAGCAAAGGTTTCTGACACTATCAGTCCTTAATGAAATATACCCTGAATTTGACCATTTCTCATTGCTCCACTACTAGTAAATTGTAATTGGAAACATAACATTTACACTAATTCATCATACTTGAAGGCCAAAATGAACGTAATAGTGGATATTTAGGCACTTTCCAGTTCACTTCAGTTTTCTTTTACAAGGCTTGCAAAGACATGAGATGTTAGCATAAGTTGGTCCCAAGATATGGAGGAGTAAAGGAATTCCTTTGTTATTTCTCATGGGAGAGTGCTAAGGAAAATAGTAATAATATTAGCATGTATTTGAATGAGTGTACTTTTATATATCTGTGAATTAGACTGGACGGATATGCTTATGCTGCTTTTCAGACAGGAGACTCTGGCCCAGACAGACCACCTGGCTCAGAGTCACACAGATGGTTAAGGGCGGCACTTTGGTTAGAATTCTTGTCTTAGACTGTGCTCTGGCATTCCGTTAGTGGCATCAAATCGATAGGGTGTCATGTCATGGAAAAGCCAGTTGCCCTCCCTTCTCGTGTTGCCCAGTCTTCCGCCTCTAAGGTAACATACATTAACAATGTCGTAGGTACCTGGTTGGTTGTCTGCTTGCCCATCCATCATCCATCCATCTATCCACTTCTCTCTTCTTTATACATATACTGGTGTATTTTCCCCTATGCTTTACAGATTTGATTCATACTGTGCATATTTAAATCTTCAGCCACATGTCATGGTCATACATCTAGATCTAATTCATTCCTCTTTGTATGCCTTTTTCATTTGATTTCTTGCAGAGTATGTATTGCTTTTAAAAGGAAAATCCAAAGCATATTTAAAGTGAAAAATATCATGCCAGTACATGATATAATTTCATCATATAGTTATTTACTTCTTGAAGTAGAAGAAAAGGAATACGTTTATTGACAATTCTAACGAAACAGGTTTCCTCTATGCTTGCCACAGGTTTCTTCACTTTGCTAACATATTCATTTTTCCTAATTTTCTTTTGAATAAAAATTCATCGTAGCCTTAACTTTTTTTTCTAAGCGAATTCAATGTATTTTTCAGGTTATCATATCCGGGAAAAGTCTAAGCAAGTCATCACATTGCTGATGGATGAACAATTGCTGCATAAAGAGAGGGAAGTAGCATGTCGGACTAGACGGCGCACCTCTCACTCTATGACGTTTCCTAAAAGATTACCTGGTACAGGTAACTCACCAACAGCCTGCGCTTCTGCCCCCACACCAGAAATTCCTGCTTCAGAGAAGAGGCAAAAGCTGCTTAAGGTTGCAAGGCTACATAAAAGTATGTATGATGATCATTGGCCTACAACGCATTAGGTTTTTAAGAACAACTAAAAAAATATAAAACATAGCTTTTAGTACTAACGTGTTAATATTATATTCTATTAGTATATTAGGCACCATTACTATAGAGAACAAAGATGAAGAATAATATTCAGTAGAAAATTTTATGACTGTTTCCTGAGTGCAATTGTCTGGAATCAAATAAATAATTTTGAGCTTAAAAGGTATTAAACAGGTAACTATCCTATTTTGTATCATTATTAATTTGTAATATTTTAATCATAACTGGAATGAGGGGAGAACTTTTCTGAGACTAGGGTCTAGATATGTGTGCATTTGTGCCATTTGATCCCACACCAGGAAACTGACATTTTCTTAAATGTGCCTCGGAATTCTAAAATTGCTCTAAAACTCTTCTAGGATAATACCTTGTGTTACATAACTCTTTCCTTTGCCTAAAACTTTAAATTCGAGCTACCGAACTTAAAAAAAAAAAAAAAAAAAAGGATATAGTTATAATGTTAGAAACCAGCAGGAAACTGAAATTATTTTTTCTGCCAAAGTTGCTAAAACTTAAAAGACTGTCATTTTGCCCTAACTTCTCTAGTACAAATCTTTTTTTTTGATAAGTCGTGTATAGGAATGGACAGTCTGAGGATGCAGGAACATTAACGAGTTGTGACTTAGACAACTGTCCCTTGAAAGGAACTAAACTTTGTGCTGTGAGGGGCATAGTAGAGAGACATAGAGTTACAGGTCCTTTCAGAGCCTTGCCTCCTGGCTTTATCGTGTGAATCTAGTCATCAAGATGCTGAAAGAGATGCAGGTATTCAGTATGAATAAATATTCCAAATGTCAGTTTAAAGTGTGAAAATTTAAAAACATTAATAGTAATACCAACACAAACTAATCCTACTAAAAATCATTAAAGTACTCGTCTGATGCAGTCAAGAGTTCTCAAACGGTCACTCGATTTGTACCTATTCTGAAATTTTCTCACGGAAGCCTTAAATTGAAACTGAAACTAAAAAGGAGTTAGCACAGTAAAGTAACCAATTATGACTCATCCAGAGTTTCTTCCCCGCTTTTGCTGCTTCTGTTAACTTTCTTGCTCTTCTTTCCTCCATTTCTTCTCTTCTTTGATCTTTTTTTAAATAAACATGTATTTAGTGAATTTATTATTTGAAGTTTGGATGTCTAGCAGAAATTTGGAGCTATAGGATTAAATAAAGTTCCCTTCATCATGGAGCAAATATTCTAATGACCGAGAAAGATATTAAACACACGTAAACGAAATAGGTATAAAACTATTATGTCAGACAGAGACAAGTGCTATTTAAAAAAAAAAATAAAGGAAAGCAGTGTCAGAGGACAGAGAGTGACTGGGACGGCTTTATTTTAGGTCAGGTAATGAGAGAAGGCCTTTTGGAGGAGGTGACTATTTAAACAGAGACCTGAATGAAGTGAGGAAGCCCTTGATATGGGTGATGTGTATCTGTGCCAGGCAGAGGAAGAGCAGGTGCAGATGCTCTGGAGCTGGAGCGAGCTTGGCATCCTTAACTGTGAGCTTGGAAAATAAGGCCCAGAATTGCTACAGAAGTAGCAAGTGCTACATCAACTCTTAGCCATTTTTATGATTCATACAAAGAAATCTATCTGGTTTACTGCTTTATAATCACTGCTTTTTTTAACCTAAAATAATACTCCCCAGCTTTATGACATATCTTCTTCACTAGACTGAGCTCTGAATGACTTTTGACTTTTAAAAAAATCAATCTATTTTCCAATGAAGAGGTTTTGCTACAGTACTTTTTTTTCATACCACGAACATGTATTGAGTACCTACTTACTGTATGCCAGATACATTCTAGGCCTGATAAGCAAATTTGGCATATTTCTGCTCTCATGGAGGTTTTATCTAGCAATGGGCTTTCAGTCTGTTTAAAAATATATATGCAAAAAGGGTTTTGGTGAATGATGGCATCATTGAAATGAATTTGTAGCAAGAGTATAATTTAAAGTAAATAGTGAATGTTTGGGTGTAAAAACTGTAGTAAATCTGTTAAAAATCTGTTACATTATTTTAAAATTTTATTCGTCCATCACCATATATACACAGACATGCTAGATGTATAGATGTGTGGGGGTTTTTTTCAAAAAAGAGTGATTGAATTAAGTAAGTTCAGCAATACTAATCATTTCCATGTAGGCACTTGAATCTGAAGCTGTATTTTAAAGAAAGAATGAAAGCTGATAATTTGGTTGGGGTGCAGCGAGAATAAGAAAATAAATAGTGGGAGGGTGTTCTTAGTGGAACAGGAGAAGTCGCAAATGAAAACGTGGAGATGGGTGGATCAGTTAGAATGAGGTACACCCACAAGTAATGGTGGTAGAGCCCACAAAGTGATAGCAGCTTAAACATAATATAATTTTTTTTCTCACCTCTAAAAATAATCCAGAAATAGGTGTTCTAGAACTGATGTGGCTCTCCATGATGTCAGAGACCCAGGGCTTTTTCTGTCTTTTTGTCCCACCTAACTGAGCATGTAGCTTCCACTTCATTATCCAGTATAGCTGCTTGAGCTCCAGCCATCACATCTGCATTCTAGCCAGTAGAAAGGAGAAGAGGTTGAAAATATCAACGCCCCTTCTTTTTAAGGACACTCATTAAAGTTGCTCATGACATTTGGGATTACATATTATCGTTTAGCACTTAGTCACATGGACACTCCTAGCTGCAAGAGAGACTGAGAAATGTAGTCTTTATACTGGACAGCCATATGCCCAGATGAAAGAGAATCTATCCTTGAGGAAGAAGTAGAGAATAAATAAATATGGGAGAGCAAATAGCCCCTACCATAGTGAGAAAGAATACAAACAAGAAATAAATTAATCATGATAATGCATGGTTGTCAGATTACATAGAATAGAGAATATGAATTGGAATATGATATGTAAGAGAATGTGGGCAGATAGTTGAGAGTACTCAGCAGAGTTCATAAAGGACATAATGACAGTATTTGGAAATTTCAATTTGATAACGACTAGCAACTAGGAATCATTGTAGGCCTTTGAGAACAGAAGGATGTCTAGCTTAGTCACAGAACTTAGCTTTTTGTTACTGAAAACAGCTGCTAGTGGAAGATAATTCTTATTGCTTCATGTATAAATGAAGGAGATATGAATTGGAGGGAAGCTTGTAACAGACAGTTGTTTCAATCCAAGCATCCAAAACTTGCTCTAAGGTTATTGAAATGTGGGAAAGTTAATGTTTAAAGATAGAATATAGAGAGGAAATGGGGTAAGTAGGCAATATATTGGAGAAGAAAGAAGTTGAAAATGACTCTAACATTTGAGTTAGAGAAAACAGAGGCAAGGCGATGGTATCATATAGGTAAATTTCCATGAGAAGGAATTTAAAGTTGTCTCTATATTATTTAGTTATAATGAAATGTAATATTGAACGCATTTCTAGAAATATGATTTTCAGACTTTAGGATCTAGAGCTGAAACAGCTGTGCCTAGGTTCTTTGTTGAATATTAGCAAGGGAAAAGAGGTACTTTCGAGAAGGTGTTATATACACATCACTACTTCTATTCGTTTTTTCTATTCCTGGATGTTTTTCTAAGTTGTAATTCTGGTAGATAGTTTGGGTGGTTTTTATTTAGATGATTATGATTGAAGAAAGATATGAGCTGAAGGATAATTGCTGCTTGATGGCAAGACAAAACTATATAAAGCCTAGTTATAACTCAGCTTCTCTGAGCTATGAGCATCAGAGTTAGGTCCTTTCGTTGGAGGTAATAGTTATAAAAACTATCACTACAGATATTGTGTACAACCAGATTAGCAAAGCTTTACCTCTGTTGATCATCCAATCTTCTGTAAACAGCTCTTTAGTAGCAGTAGTCTTTGCAATGAAACTTTACCTGTATTAGAGAATTACTCTGGTCTCTATCATGGGATTATCTCCCTTAAAATGGTATGGCCCGCTGGACCAAAAGTTGAACTTCAAAGTAGTTGTCATGCTTTTATAAGCAAAAACTCCAGTGTTGATGTTTCTTTCTACAGTGAACTTTGTACTAACAGAGTTGATGTGGAGTCATACTTGGTTGCCTTATGACATAGAGTCTAGATGGCAGAGCTTATGGTACAAGTGGTGGCTGCTACTCAAATATTTGCATTGATGAATGTCAAGTGGTGATTTTTTTAAAATTTGAAAATAGATGTAAAAAAGAAAATAACAATAACTGATACCCCTACCACCCTAAACCAACCACTATTAACATTTTAGAATATTTACTTCCAGACTGCTTATTTTTTCTTTTATTTTTGTTTCAGAAAAATTACCCTACTGATTATAAAAACAATAGTGGCTCATTATAGAGAATCATTCACTTCTAATCCCATCACTCAGAGTAGCCATAATTAATATCAGATAAACATAATCCTAGGCATCTTTCATCCATACATACATGTAGAAAGATGGATAACTAGAGAAATCATTTTTATAAAAATAGAATTACACTAGAGACTGTTTTTTACTAAAAAAATATTTCAAGCTACTTCTGGCAAAAAGACTTACTAGGAGCTCCAGGAAGCCTATTTATTGCACAAATAACCAAAGACTGGAAATGATGCACTGTTTGCAAGATTTCCGGCCTTACCAGAAGTATGAGAAGTCTCCAAGCGTCTCTTCTTCCAAAAATTTAATTCGTTAACTTAATTAAATAGGTAAAATAAGAACAGTACATGTGAGCTTGGGTCAGAGTGATTTCCAGCTGGTGCCTGTGGGACACTGCAGATGACTGTAGGGGTTGAGATGCTTCAGGGCAGTTGTCACTAGTTAAGAAAATGAATTCTGGGTCTGTCTTGAGCATTGGGAAGGAAAGCCTAGGATTACTGTGTTGAACCCAGGAACTCAAGGAGGACCAAAGTGATTCCAGGTAGTTCTCTCAGCAAGAAGAAAGCCTTTCAATTCACAAGTTAGGTTCACA